ACACACACACACACACACACACACACACACACACACACACACACACAGGATTCAACCACAAACCCTTTAACTGTATTCTGCAGTGCTCATTCAATGTGTGTGTGTTTACACACCTGTGTGTGCAGACAGAGCACACAGATCTTTCCAGTGTTGATGACCTGTCTCACTGAGTCTGTACTCGTCCCGTACAGGTTCTTCTCAAAGTCACCGGACTCTATCAGCTTCCCTGGGAACAGAACACAGAGGCCACATTAGTGCTGGTACTGCATCATTTCCTCGGACTAGGACGAGACGTCTCTGTGTTACTCTGACAGAGTTAAACGACCTTTATAGCGCCAGTGTGCTCATAATCACGTGTCATGTTGTAACATTTGATTTGCTTCAATCTAGACTGTAAATGATAGTTTTTTTTCTTCCTCACTTTAGTTAGAGGCTTTCTGAACCGTATGACTGTCAACAGTGACAGTGGAAACAAAATAATAATTTTCATGGATATGTTTTGGAACTTAACACACCATGGAAAGCCATCGACTCTATTTGATTCTAAATGGAGCATCATTTACTAAATGAACATCATGCTGTATTGAAGAAGACTTGAAACTAGAGATTGAGACCATAAACTCATGTTTACTGAGGTAATAAATCAAGAGAGAAGTAGAGTCATTTTCTCATAGACTTCTATACAACCAGAGGAGTCGCCCCCTGATGGTCAGTAGAGAGAATGCAGGTTTAACACACTTCCTCATTGGCTTCACTTTCAGACCATTTGGATTGGACACATCTATATACTGTAACTTATCTATTAGTATGTCATTAAGGCTTTCTAACTACTACTATTCTGGAGACGGTTTCTAAGTCTAGGCTCATAAATTACTTCAACATACTTTTAGCTTGATCGCTTGAGAATTGATTTTTGTTGAGTGAAATTGAGTAAACTATTAAAAAACAGGCCAATTTGGACACTGAGTGAAGAATGTCCCTCTAAATAATACATTTACATACACGTCTGTGTGTCAGAGTATCTAATTACATGAAACTTTACCTGCTGCCAGTTCGGCCTCAAAAGTCTGACGAGACACAAAGTGGTAATCTCGACCACTCAGTTCGCAATCCCGACGGCTCCGCGTGGTGTCTACAACACACACACACACACACACACACACACACACACACACACACACATTAGTATATCCACAAACGCATAAAAGCATGTGTAGAGTGTACAGTGTGTGTGTTTTAGTCGTACGGGGTACAGCTCCAGCGAAGCGTTCTGGTTGACTGTTAAGCAGTCTCTGTCTAAGCTCCGCCTGCCCGCAGCTGGTTGGACCAATCAGTGCAATCGGCCGCTTCCTATTGGCTGGTTGGTGGTACAGAGCCATCTCCTCATAGGTGAGAATCTCCTCGTGATCAATGTCTGGGCAAATGGACAGAAAGGACTGAATGAAAATGTTATGATAGGGTCCAAAGGAAAAACTGTAAGAAGAGGTTAGAGGCAGAAAGTTAGGATATCAAAGAAGAGAGGAAACGATGACGAACATGACGTATCTAAGATCAACTCATCAAGATGTAAGGCAACAAAGTCAGCAGCGAATAGTTGATTTGATTTGTTTAAAAAAACAGTTATATATTTAGACTCTGTGAATGGTGATGTTTTAACCAGGCCAGTGTAGAAGGATAGATTGTCCTCTTTCTGTCGAAAATAACATTGCTTCACTTTGCAAAGTTAGATCAACCTCATCACACCGAGGACCCCACTGTTAAACACTGCTGTAACGTGAGCCACAGAGTGCAAAATATATGACTTGTATTAGTATTTATCGATGTTCATAAAAGAAGACAGAAATAAACCTGAACGAAACGCGTAAATGTATCTTTCAGGACCTTTGCCTAACTTAGTGGCTGTGCCTACCATAAGGACAGCACTTTAAAGATGCTATTCAGACGGTATTAATAGTTTACTTTGAACTTTTTAAATTATCAATTTAAACCTCGTCCCCCTTCATCATTCATTCGTTACCTACAATGGCCCGAATAAGCCGTCGTAGATACCCATTCATGACTAATTCAATCTTTTTTTCTTCACAGTTGGTCATCCACTACTACATTTAGAAGCAGTTTGCGTGCACATGAAAGTTGTGCCCCAGTTACATTTAATGAGATTTAATGAGAGTCCCAGAGAGACAGGAAGCCATACCATCATTCCTGTGAGTGTTGTACAGCAGCTTCTTTCTCTTCCTCTTGTTCTTCTTTGCGCACCACAGCTTCCCTGTAAACAAGCAAGGCAACTTGAAACACACCTTGGAGCTAAAAGGCTGATGCATTTACTGCATCGGAGCACATGTTTTTTACTAAATCAATTTTTAAATTTTTGCATGAGAAGTTCATCTCTCTGTCAGTTAGCAAGCTGGAAGTTTGGGCACCAACAAACTCCCTCAAGTGAATAACATATTTCCTGTGGTCCCTCTGGACATTAATCCAATCATTAAATAGACTATACAACAAACTATATACTGTGCATTGTACACGAAAAAAAAAAACGTATTCACAGCCATTAGGTTATGGCGTAGTGAGGAGAGCAACAGACCTGACTTCTCCGGCTCCTTGTCTTCTTCTATGGTCTGTTTCATGGCTTCTCTTTGCTGCTGGAAACTCTTCCCTGTGGAAAGAGAATATGAGAGCAAACAACCAGTGGCCATATAAGAGTTTGACTAAATAGTATGGGGTCAGATCAGTCTCAATAATCACAAATGCACACAGAAAGACTCACAAATGCAAACAGAAAGATTCACAAATGCGCACAGAACAATTCACAAATATATTAGATTTACAAATGCACACAGAAGGATTTACAAATAAATTTGACTCACAAATGCACGCACAACGATTCACAAATACATTCCAATGCACATATAAATAAATTACAATTTATATAAATGTAAAAAAAAAAAAAAATCACAAATATATTTCTGCATTTGTATGTATTTCTGTGTGGATTTTTTCTATTTGTTTGTGGATTTGTATGTATTTGTTTGTGGATGCACTGCATTTCTTTGTGGATCGCTACACATTTATTTGTGGGTTTTTGAGACTCTCCTGACGTGGCTGGATTCGCAAATGCGTTTTTTCAACGTTCTCTTTTTCAACCAATCACATGAGCGCAGCTCCCCCCTCCCTTCCCCACGAGGCTGCTAGCCTTAGAGTTGCGCAATTTGCGGAGGCGACAGGGCAAGCTCAAAGGCACTTCCTGTTGCAAGCTGCCACCATTTTGGTGCCGATTCCGCGGTAGTTTAGCCTTTATTTGTCGTTATTTGACATTATGTGACAATACATTAAGCAGTCTCGTGGGGAGGGGGGAGCTGCGCTCATGTGATTGGTTGAAAAAGAGAACGTTGAAAAAATGCATTTGCGAATCCAGCCACATCAGGAGTCTCAAAAACCCACAAATAAATGTGTAGCGATCCACAAAGAAATGCAGTGCATCCACAAACAAATAGAAAAAAACACACAGAAATACATACAAATGGAAAAATATATTTGTGATTTTCTTTTACATTATATAAATCATAATTTATTTATGTGTGCATTGGAATGTATGTTTGAATCGTTCTGCGTGCATTTGTGAGTCAAATTTATTTGTAAATCCTTCTGTGTGCATTTGTAAATCGAATATATTTGTGAATCTTTCTGTTTGCATTTGTGATTATTGAGACTGATCTGACCCCATAAAATAGTCTTCAAATGCTCCAATAAAAACACCCAAAACAACAAAAAAAAGGCTGGACGGACAGATGATAGTACCTGGTACCAGTCCAGCTAGAGGCTGGTTGTCCTCGTCTCCGTCCCTGTACGCCTGCCACCAGTTGGGGTCTGACTGGCTGATAATGTGGAGAATATCTCCTTTCTGGAAGGACAAGCCCAGCTCTCTGCACGGCACGTAGGGGTCATCTGATGGGTCGTAGTCGAAATGTGCCTTCACGTGGACCTGGAAGTGAGAGAGAGATGACCGACAAGGGAAAAAAGTCAAGACTTTTTCACAACTCACTTCTGTTAAAACCTCATCCTCGAGCCCTCCGGTGTTCACGACTCGGCACTCACCACGGACTCTTTGACAGGAGGAGGTCTGCTCTGAGTGCTGGGAATAAGCACGAAGGTCAGCAGGCCGTGCATGTCCGCCTGACACACACACACACACACACACACAGCTATTATATACAATACATTTCGCATTGAACTTTTAGATGACCTAATCATCCATATGCTCTTTTACTGTTGTGCTCCAGGTAATGACATTAGTAGAGTATACTGCCATCGATACAAAGTATCTATTCCACAAATAATCATCTTTATAAAAATGAGTGGGACGGAGGTAGAATGTGTTGAATATAAAAAAAAATAAAAAAAACTATATACACACACATACATATATATATATATATATACATACATATATATATACATATATACATATACATACATATACATATACATATATATATACATATACATACATATACACATACATATACATACATATACATACACATACATATACATATACATACACATACATACATACATATACATATATATATATACATACATACACATATATATACATACATACACATATATATACATACATACACATATATATATACATACATACACATATATATACATACATACACA